GAGGGCACAGTCCTCTTAGCATATTTAGGCTTGACCTTATGACGCTCCCTAGATCTTACCTGGGAAGCTAATGGGCTGAGGGAAGTGCAGCAAGAACAAGAACAAAAACAAGTGAAACTCACAAGAACAGCGTAACTTTGGTAACCACTACCTTGTTTACCTCTGACTATAAAAATAAAGGCTCAGTTTGCCTCAGGATCTTTCTCTGTGGCCTCAGCCAGGCACAGGAAGATCCACGGAGACTAAAGAGAGCTAGAGAGTTCTGAACGCTGTCTCTGTGTAAAACATTCTTCGCCGACTCCGTCCACACCTTTGGGAACCCCTGGATCCCCGGGGCTGGACCCTGGCACAGCTCCAGGCCTGGGCACACAGCTGTGACCCTCAGATTCTCAACCATCCCTGTCTTGCTGTCCCCTCCAGTACTCCTGCAGCCCCAGGTCACATGGCTCGCCTTGGTTCCCACGGTCCCTGAGGATACAGCTGCGGAGGGATGGCAGGGGGAGCCCAGACCATGGTTCTGTTGACTAAGCCGCAGAGCCAGCCTCAGAGGGCCCCAGCCAGGCGCCTACCGCCCTCCTGAGTGCATGGCCCCTGTGTGAGGTGGGGGAACCCTGGACACCCGTGCAGGGTTTCCGGTCACACGGGTGTCAGGCTCAGAGAAGCTGCCTGCCTACCCCAGGTCACACAGCAAAGTGAGGGTCCCCCACACTGGGGCAGCATCCAGCCTCCCTGGCTTCCACCAGGTTCTGCCAGCCCCAGGGGACTCAGGGGATGCAGGACTCAGGGGACCCCCAGAAGGCCTTGGATTAGGGTAGGGAGAAGGCCTGGGGCTTGCCTACCTGGACAGCGGGTCCCTCCTTCTTCCCCCGAGTTTGCAACTCTCAGGACAGAGTGGCGTGGGTCTAGGCCTCCTGTGCCTGTTACTACTGCTCAGGGCCCTTGCCCAGGTGCCACTGGCTGCCCGGGGCTGGGAGGAGGAGGAGCAGTGGGAGAGAACAGGAAGGGGAGGACGAAGGCAGGAGAGAAGATGGAAGGGGAGAGAGGGAGGAGACTGCTCCCCCCTTTGTCTGGCACCCCTGCCAAAGCTGCTCCCTCACAGCGGGGATGAGTCAGGGCTGGAATGCCCAGCAAGAGCCTTGAAATTCTCTGGGATCCACAGCCCACCTGGATAGGTGGGGGTGGAGGTAGGGGTGGGGGTGGGGGTAGGGGTAGGGGTGGGTGGGGGGGTCTGGGTGGGGAGAGGTGGGTGCAGATTGACGCCGTGCAGCCTGGAGCTGGAGACGGCTGGGACCTCCACAGGGCACATCTGCCCTGGTGTCTGGCCCCTCCACGGGGACAGAGGATGGATGGGTACTGGGAAGGCCAACCAAGGGGTCACACGGGACCTGCCCTGCGGGCCGGGGGCTCTGGAGGAGCTGAGCCAGCTCGAAGCCCCCCTGCCTGACGTCACTGCATCTTCGGGCCAGCCCGGCTCCAGCGCAGACACACTCCGAGGGGAAGGGAGGCTGAGGGCTTGGAGGCCCTACATCAGGGCCCCGTGACAGAGGCAGAGGACAAGGTTTGGCTGGTTCTCCCCGGTTCCTGGCTGGGCCCAGGCAGTGGGCAGGCTGGCGGGTGGAGGCTGGGCCGGCTTCCCGGCACAGCCCTCATTTCCCCTCGAGGGACTGGCACAGGACTCCGCCAGAACTATGCAGAGGGGAGGGGGCCGGCTGGACAGCGAGCCTGCAGGGGGCGGCCAGAGACCCCCACAGAGTCAGAAGGAGCCAGGAAGGGGCCTCCGGGGGTGCCCAGGGGGAAGGCTTCCCTGTGTCCAGCGCAATGAGTACCTCCATTTTATGGGAGAGAAAACTGAGGCTTAGAAAGGGGAACAGATTCCAACACCCCCCCACCCGCACCCCGAGTCACTCAGCATGAGACCGAGACTCCAGCTCGGGTAACTCCAGGCCCTGAGCTTCCAGGCCTTGGCCTCGCCTCTCAGCACCGCGTGAAGGACGGGGGTCTCTGGATGGCTGGCTTGGCCCAGCGTGGGCAGTGCAGAGCCTGGGGGAGGAATTCCCGGCGAGGCTGGTGACGATCAGGGTGATCGGGGTGGGGGATTGCGGGGAGGTAGATGGGCCCAGCTGCCTCAGTTTAAGCGTGCCCTGCCTCCTACCCATCACCTCACACTGCCCCCCCTTTCAGGAACACACACACACACACACACACACACACACACACACACACGTAGGAGGCAGGGCGGCCAAAGCCCAGGAAGTGGGAGCCCCCCATGGACAGATAGTGTGAGAATCACAGCAAGTCCCCCCAACGCCACCTCCCCACACCACCTGGGCCTTTGGGCCTCAGTTTCCCTTCATCGGCCTTCCCAGGCATGTCCCCAGGACTTCAGGGAGGGCCTCCAGCCCCATCAAAGCAGGCTCTGAGCTTTCTGGACCCCACCTCCTCAGAGCAAAGGAAAGAAGTGGTAATGGCCATGAGGCCTCAGGCCTGGCGCCCACAGGTGTGAGCGAGGGAGGAGGCTGGGCTTCCTGGAGCGTGCGCCTCCGACCCCATAGGGCCCTTCTTGTCTGGCCTTCTGGACGTCGGAACAGTCCTCCGAGCAGGATTGCTCCAGGTCGCAGCCAAACAAGACACATTGGCAGCCTCTGAGAACATGGACGGGCTGTGCCAGGCATTCAGGCCAGGCCAAGGGCGGCAGGAGCAGGACTTGAGGTCTGGCATGCCCTGGGAGCTCACCGGCCGAGGTGTGGCCCACAGTTGCCAAGTTCTAGACGCTGGGCACTAGCCCTAGGCCCCAGCCCGACGTGTCTGGCCCCACTGAGCCACCCGACCAGAATTCTGACACGCGTGCCACCTTCCACTCAGCCCTGTCAGGTCCCTGGGACTGCATGGGTGAGGTGCGGTGAGAGAGAGGGAGATTAGGGGGGGAGGGTGGTGATTCAGGGTGCCCTTCCTCCCTTACTCAATCCTGTTCACCAAACCCCCTGGGCCCAGCTTCAACCAGCAAGCAAGAGGAAGGGTTGCTACCCAGGCTGACCCTGGGGTGCTCCCTATGGCCCCCCGGACTCCCAACAGCTCTAGTCTGCACTTGGGGTCAAACAGAGAGCGGGCACATGTGCCACCCATGGGTCTGCTGAAGCCCACATGTGTGTGCTGTGGGGATGACTGCATGAAGGGCTGGTGGCTGGAGTGGGGAGGGGCTGGTCCCTGAGCCCCACCCTGTCTGTGTCTGTGTCTGTACCCCAGCCACCCTGAACCCACCGTCATTGTCTCAGCGTGCCCTCAGGTGACAAGGGGAGCAGATGCCCAAGTGTGGCTCACCAGGTCAGCTCCTTCCTATTGTGGCCCTGGCGCTGCTGGGTGACTGGACAGAGCTGGGTCTTCAAGGACAGACTCCACCTGGACATGATGTCAGAGGCTGCAGGAAGCCAGCCATTGGCGCAAAG